TGTGTGTGTGTGTGTGTGTGTGTGTGTGTGTGTGTGTGTGTGTGTGTAGTGGCAAGTACATCAGTTCATGCAGGTCATTATCTGTGTGCTTGCTTGCATGTGCGTTTGTGTGTGTACGTAGTATGTTCTCAAGTGTATTTGTGTATATTCTGCATCACACCAGCCAATTTTTTCATTGATTATAATGACAGGACATTTGGGACGACAGCCGTTGGTGTGCCTTGGGATTTGTGTTGTTGACTGAATGAGTCAAGGGCGTGAAGCTAACTTTAGCTTTCCATCCTGACTACAGGTGGGCGGCCAATCAGGTGTCATTGTTGAAACGGTTTTGTGATTTGCTGGCTGAGATGTGCCAGATACATCCTGCAGTATGTACTCGGTTCTCCTCCATTTCATTTTGTTTTCTGTTTTTCTCTAATTCACACCTATTGTGTCTCAGCTTCCCTTCAACTCTCTCTTCAATGGATTTCAAAGGATACCCCTTTGTGTATCTTTTTACCTCTTTGTCGTTACCTCACCTTCTCTATATTTCTCTTTCACTTTCATCCTTTTCAGTCTCTCGCTCGATCCATCCTCTCTTTCTTTCTCATTTTAAGCTTTAAATTGAGTCCATTATATTGTCAGTTTGCCTGGCTTTACGGTTGGTTAAATGCTGTGTTAGAAGTTGAAGATTGATGCATGCCTCCTTCTGTATACACAATTCATGCCCCCGCTTTCTTCTATGTGTGCCCTTGAACTATATAAATGTGCTTTTCAATACTATTCCCCCCTACTCCTCCATGTAGGCTATTTTCTATTAAATTCCTCCTGGTAGTTCAAGTGGGCTGTAAAAATAAAACTGACTTGTCTCCATTCAAAACTACCATCTCTTTCATCAAAGCCTGCCAAGATTGAAGTTAGACAGAGCTATGCTGATAATTATGTTAGGTCATGTCCGATACCAATGTTGAGATTTGAGATTTAAAAAGAAAAGCTGATAAATTCATAACAAAAACAAACATTTGGAAATGAAAGATAACTGTGACATGAGCGAGATATTTTACAGTTACAGCTAATATGATAACATCCTCCATTTTAGACTCAAAGGTCGGCACTGTCAAGAGAGTTTACAGTTGTCAAGCGGTCCGAATTCACATGTCAAAGTTCACCAAAGTCAAACAAATTTAATTTGGAAATGTCACAGATGTAAATGCTGATGTGAAGCCCAACAGTCAGGATCAAAAATAATTTCAACCAACTGTGTGGGCGTACCATACGTGGGCAGGTCCGTTAAGCAAAGCTGTTTGTGGTGTAGACAACCAGTTTATAAATGAGTTAAACATGGTACAAGCATTTCTGATGAGAATATATGATGTGGTACAATAAGTCATGTGTAGTTCAGGAAGTACATTCATTTCTTGGGTGTAATGTAAGTTCAGAGAGTTTGTTATGTTTCCTATGTGTTTATGAGGAGGAAGTGTTCATTGTACAAAAAATTTGGGGTACATCGTTATTCATCATCACCAGCTACATTTTCAGGCAGTAGATCCAGTGGATCGTGTTGCTATATGAGCAGTGTCTGTTACGTAGCGTCACGGGGAAGTCTTGCGTGAATAGCAAGAGAATAAAAATCTCTGTGTACAAGAGGGAAGCAGAAAACGCAGAGTAGTGACTGTATACCTAAAGGCATATTTTTGTATTTTGCAGAACATTTTCAATAAATGTGTAGCACCAGATTGAGCCTGTGTGACATCATTCTGTGCTACAGAATTTGACTGTGGTGTTATCTATGTACCGGATAAGGGCTTTGTGTATGATTGACTAACGGTCTTGCAATATCTGCCACTCTTCTCGGGAGGGACAGGTAAAGCAGACGTATGCAGAACTGAAAGCGTGGCTTCTGAGTCAACCAAAAATGGAACATTTCTACCTTTTAATAGTTAATGTGAAGTGTTAACTTTTTAAAACCTTCATTTTCATTTGAATACATCTGGTATGTGGGTGTGAGGGATGTTTCTCTGGTTTCTAATATGTGTATTAAATGTAGAAGTTTGTCATAGTCGGAATCTAAATTTAACTCACACCCACATGTTGTGATGTGGGTGTCTTGGTCAGTCCCTCTCTGGCTTCCGCCCCTCCACCTGGACGAGTGGAACGTCGTCAGGTTCATTGACTCCTTCAAGCTGAGGAACAGAAGAACTGCTCTTGTCATTGAGTTGCTGGATATGACTCTATTGAAATACCTGATTAAAATGCAAACTGTGAATTTACATGACATCAGGAGTGTAAATCAACAGGCATGGATACAGTAGCATCGGACACAACACTAAAGTCAAAAAGCTTCCTGGCAGATTTCTCTACTTAGAGACAGCATAGCGGAGAAATCTGACTGGATAAAAGCTCCACTTAAAACTAGCTGCAACTGAGGAAGACAGTATAGCTATGCAATGAGATAATAAGCTAATGGGAAACATATTTACAATACATGTAGTGTAGTTCTGAAAAAATTATGAAATAGCTATAACTTTGGGATTCTGTCAGTGTCTAGGCCAGCAGAGAAGGCCTTGCTGGCCCTGAGGGCCCACCACTTAGCATATAACTTAACATTTATTATTAATAATAATAATAATAATAATAATAATAATAATGATTCAATGCTCCTTTTAGACACCAACCTTTTCATCATCAGTGACTTCTAAAGTAGAAGCAGTTTGTGGCTTTCAGAGTGAGTGTAAAGGAAAGTGATGAGACTCTGTGTGTGTGTGTGTGTGTGTGTGTGTGTGTGTGTGTGTGTGTGTACACATATATATTTATGCTTGTACTTTTGACTAATGCTATGTTGTGTATGTGTTGCATTGTGGGCAGGGCTGTGGTGAATGGTCTGTTTCTCATCTTTGACTTGTGAAAGGTGAACTCATCTTTTCCTCTCCCCACTCTGCGGCCACACTGAGTATAGTGACGGGTTGGGGATGTGATGATGGGGGAGTGGCGGAAAGGCCTTGTGTTGTATAAGAGCCAGGAAGTTGAAAGATCAGAAGGACAAATAGATGTTTGCTTATTGCAACAGCAAGACTGTCTTATTGCTTTGATAACAACTCAAGCAAGCAGCAAGATTATTTTCTGTTTGGTGATTCAGATTGTCTAGGTTTGTGCTGAGAGATACTATACTCAACAATCGAAGGACAAAGCCAGAAGATGACATTCAGCCTGGTGTTAGCCGCTCTTCTTTGCTTCACCACGTGGATGAGTGCTGTCCATGCAAGTGAGTACCACAAAAATGTTCAAGATTTTTGGTTGAGCGTTTCTTGGGTAAAATGAAGGGTTCTTAATCTTTGTTTCTTGATGTCTGTCTTGTTTAGCCCATGCACCGGTGACCGGCTGTTGTTATGGGTGGTCAACCACAAGAGTCCACCCTAAACATATTCGGAATTACACCATTCAGACTGATGGCGACTGTTCAGTCAAAGCCGTAGTGTAAGTATTCCTGCCAATTCACAATCTAATCAAGCCATAACTCAACTTAGAACAAAGATGTATATGGGAGGGTTCACCTAAGGGGCGTCGTTAGGCCTATTTTAGGGGGGCTGAAGCCCCCCCTTTCTTTGAATCCTAGAAACGCCCCTGGTTCACCCAAATCGCAAAAATAACACACAATTAAGGAACACATTTCCTCACTTACCTCCAGTGGTATACGTAGCCATGCAGACAGTTTGTGTTTAATTTGCCCAGGTTTCAGATACAGTATCTCTCTGTGAGATTTCTGCCACCTCAACAATACAATAGGCGTGAATGGAATTTAATTTTGAGAGCATTGGAAAATTAAATTTAAAAAAAACAGCAAACATCTCTTTTCAGAAAGTGTCCCTGCCATTCTGGATAATTTAACTGTCAACAGTTTTCATCGGAACAACTTACTCCAGGAAAATAGTCCCTTTAAAAACAGTTCACAGTGAGAAGTTAATTTGGAGTAACAGAGATCCTTTCTGCAAAGAGATGCTGCTGTTATTTCTTTTTTTAATACCAATTTTCAATGCATTGTGCTTGAATATTTAAAAACCTAAACGAACTATCCGCTAAAGGTAATTGAGAAAACTAGATTTTGTACTGACATGAAAATGATTTGATAGAAGTGCATTAATAACAATATTAAAACAATTCCATTAATAAATCACAATCAATTACAGGTTTCACAGAATGGATGGAAGGACGATTTGCTCCGACCCTAACAGTGACTGGGCGAAAAGAGTCATTCTGAAGGTGGACGAGAAAAACAATCAAAAGGCATTGCAAGAGAAGGGACATAATGAAGAAGGATCAACAAGCAGCACCGCACCAGCAGTGTCCCTTCCGTTAAAAACCACTCCACAGAAGAAAGGCAGAAATGGATTGAGACGCCAGAAGAAGTCCAGGGGAGGCAGAAGGGGCCAGAAAAAATGTGTGTGAGGAATCACGAGACAATTTGAAGTTACCACAATCAGCAAACATGACTCTTTCCAATACTTGTCCTGCCATATTCTGTGAATAGTAAACAACCATGAAACAAAAACAGACCTTTATATATTATTGTATCTATGACTAAATATGCAATGTATATTTAATTATATTTTGAACTTGTTGTCATAAATGTGTGTATGTGTCAAAGAGCATAAAGTTTGACCTTTTCCAGCCATTTGCCAATAAATTCTTCTCAAGCGAATTTGGTGTTTTCGTTGTGAACAAATGGAGTATGGTGTGGAACACAGTTGATATGTTGCAGTGTGATCACAAATACAGTACACGTTGTCAGTAGCTCTCAGTGTGTTTACACAAATGTACAGGAAGGAAACCCAGAGCTAAACAGAGATAACAAGTCCAGACACAGATGAAGCATAGATTCAGCTGCTGATGTTCAACAAGTAGGTATAAACATACTGGACAAACCAATATACAGTATCTATATACAAATAAAATTACTCTATTGTGGTCTGGTGTGTAGCTATACTGTGTACGTATGACAAGGCAAAAGAAATTGAATAAATACTGTTTGGATAATAATAAATTACATCGCCATGGAAGGCTTTCTGGGTATTTAGTGCAAGACACAAAAGGGGCATCATGCACATGATATTATGTACACCTCTTGCACAATACATGTGTATGCTGTATTTGTGATATAATCAACGTATCCTCATACAACGCTTTGTACAAAAAAGTTACTCTTCATTTTTTGTACGTTTTCCTACGAAAGTCCAGCAACTCGTGTCAATTTTCCTTGTTACGTGCATGCAGTCTTCTCAAAATAGTCTTCATTCTTCACAGGAAACAACTGTTTTAGTTTAGGCAACAAAACTACTTAGTTAGGTTTAAGAAAAGATGGTGGTTTGGGTTCAAACAACCACGGAAGTGTCTTTTCTTGTTTCACACGGGGCACTAACATCGGTCTCCTGGGTCAAAGATCAGTTTATGTTTGAACCATCCACCTCTGTGGATTTGTGTGGTCTTTATACCTCCTGGTTCAGGATTAGGTGGATAAATATAAATTGATTTTGTGGGATATCTACAAATGTCAGCGCTTTAATTTTCTTAGGCATAGCCATGAATTCTGTATGTAAAAAGCCTGAATATAATATGTGGCAAACACTGTTGTTTTGGTCAATGCAGTGTTTTTTAAATGCCATTGCAGTCTCACTGTGACTGCAATGGCATCAAAAACTGTTCTGGAGTCAGGGGTCTGCAATCATTTCCCTGGTTTCCTTACTTTGGACGTGTCGTATGATCGTTTAAGTCCTGACTGTCTCTGTCTTGTTCGGTGGCCAGACTCTGACGGAGGAGTAGGCCTGAGAGCAGATTACTGTGATACTGCTGGTCATTTGTCCTTCATGTATAGAGGTAAATGCTGCATACTCTTATAATTACATATTTTTATTGAGCATTATCATATTGAGCATTTCTATGTTATACTCACATGTCAAAAGATCTCTTCAACCCACTATGACGCACACAAAATGCCACAGAAACTCCATCGAACTGAATGTCACCGTCAAGAACATAAAAAAACTGTAGTTGGTTGGAACAAGTTGTCCTAATAGAGATGTAGTACTGCAATAATTATTAATACGCAATAAGTAATTATACATACATTTGTGTAGTTTTTTTGCTTTATAATAAATCTATTACTTTCTACCCTTACTCGAATGGAATCTAAACCTAAAAATAATCAACGATCACTTTTGTCATCATTCATCTAACTGTAAAGCAGAATCTCTATCTGTCTGTGTTCTTCGCATATCTCAAAAACAGCTCATCTGGTCTACTTCACACATGTTAGATGTATTGCTGGGGACCAAAGGGTGTATCATTGAATTTGTTGCAATTTGGACACCAGACACGTTCATTATTAATACACTTAATAAAACAGGCAACAGTTTCTGCTCAGCAGCAGATCTTCAGGGCTCTGCAATCCAGCATGTCCTTCTCAGCGGGCAGACGCTCATTGACCACATGCAGTTCACTTTGGCTGCTGGATGCTGGATAACTTTACAACCAAACCTTTCTTCACACAACTAGCTCAACCGAAAAGCCGACACAGGAACAGCACCACTCTGCCTTTGCAACTCAAATTGTGTACGTTTTTTGCCTTTTATACAGTCTATGGTTTTTGCCACACATAACACTAATAAGGTTGCCACCACCCACATAACTCCTAAGCTGGCCCGGACGCCTTTGTGTGGCCGCTGCTCTGCACTGTGCTCGTACTGCGGTGGAGATAGCGCTGATAACGCGGTCCTGACCCATTTTTTAAGTGCTTTGGGGACCATTTGTAAGTTATTTTGGGGTACAGTAAGTGAGAATAGTATTCCATGGTTTTCATATCTAAAGATCAAAATGCATCTACAGCCGTTTGGGGCCCTTTTATTTTGGGCCCAAGGCCTAGGTTGCCTACCTTGCCTAATACTAAAGTCTGCCCCTGTTGTTGTTCCTGTGAACCAGAGTATGTTTCACTGGTGTTTGTTACTGTGAGTAGCCGCATCTTGGGTGTGTGACGCAACTGTCATGGAAGGTGTATTGCTGAGGGCCCATGAAGCGCAGTGTTGAGTGTACACACAGAAAAAAAAAGGTTCTTAAATGGTTCTTTAAAAGGCAGTGTGGTTCCATGAAGAACCATCCCCTACTGAAGAACCATTTTATCTATTGGATGGTTCTACATGTTTTTCATATGGTTCTTTGGGGTATTAAATGGTTATTTGGGATATTAAAGGGTTCTTAATTCATGTTTGAGTTGTTGAATCGTGGGGGATGGGATAAATTAGAAAAAATCTATCTTGCCATGATCTGGGTGTGGGGTAGTTAGCACTTTATGAGTGATACGTATATATATATACAACATATATATATATATATATATATATATATATATATATATATATACACATACATATACATATATATTCATGTCGGTGAATCGGGCCTTAAATATATTAAATATATTAAATATATTAATAGCTGTGTTCCAGAAAATTCTAAGGGGAAAGTCATGAATGACAACATAAACCACCAATCACGATCATGAGATATGTGTCCGCCCCGCCTACTTCCAAGTGACAGTCGTCCATCTCTCTGACTGACCAGACCAAAGTCTTTTCAAACCAGTCGCCCGCAACTAACAGTGGTCGGTCTAAGGTAAGTGTTGGAAGCTTGGTTATTACAGGCAAATTATTGCTCTTTTTTATCATGTCCCAGCCATCTGTTATTCGAGTGTCTGAATAAGCTAGTCTACATCGAATATATAGTATTGGTGCCTGTAGCTTGGCTGGAAGCGCCATATTTCCCTCGTTTTGTGGATGCCGCATATATATATATTTGTGGATTTTGAGGTAATGTTAGACTTTTAGTTTCAACAATCCGTAGGTTGTTGAAACCGTTATGAGTTCATTTCGCATGTATTTCGTTTTCTAAAGGTAACTTGACCGAATCTTTCCAAAAATGAAACACCAAGTGAAGTTCCTGTCTGCTTTAGCGCAGCTGAAAGTGTGAGTTACGTTATACAGTGAAGCCATGTCATTTCAGTTACAATTCCAAGGATTTACTCGTCTTGTTTTTGGTAGTTTTCTTACATGTTGGCTTAAATTAAAATCTGATTTTCCTCCCCTTTAGCAGTGAAAGCGAAGCCCCTGTGAGTCAGAGAGCCCTAGCAGCCCAACCAATGATCAACTGCCAAGTCCGGTTTCCTCCAACAGTCTTCACGGCACTGACCAGCAAGGATGCAGCTCTGTTTGACCATTTGAGCCAAGACACAATGTAAGTTTGTGTTCCATAATAGAAGATGGCGACAGACAGCAACACGTGTGATGCGTTACATCATGTAAGCAAACCATGTACCTATCAACTGTGAGCTCCAGATCAGACTGGAGACGTAACCTCAAAAAGAAAATGTCTAAGTAGTACTTGCTGTCTGACATTTTCAAAGTATGTGACAGTAATATAAATAGAAACTAAACGGTGCACAGCGCAGTACCACTCGCGGCCATTTAGGACACAGTGTCATGGACATAATGAACAACAAAAGATATTTGAATAGTTTGAACTTATGTGTTTTTCAAGAATGAATATTCAAACATAATTGTTGGCCAATTTTTACAGCCGTAATGTTCAGTAATGACATGTTATCTGCCTGTAAAACAAGTTTCCTTGTTAATCAAGTTTTAGGTCTGTATGCCATAGTGAAAACTATGCATCATGATGACAAACTACACATTTGCAGACCTTTAACTGCTCTTTCTGATCATTTGAGTTAGGTATCTCTGTTTATTGCGCTGATCTGGAATGTTAATCTTGTATAACGCCTTGTGTTTTGTTCCTTTTGAAAACTTACAGGTATCCGTCTCATATTCAGTATGAGCAGCTCTTTAAGTCTGTCCTGCTCAACTTCCCTTTTCTGAAGGAAAGTTATGGATCTGTAAGTATTTTCTCACTGACTAAAAGAGTAATGCTAAACTGAATTTTATGCTTCATACTTCATGCTCCAGCTCAGTCCTAATTGTGTCATTGTTTATTACTTAGCAAACAGATGCAATGGATGCTGGGGACGACAAAAGAAGTACGAGCCACCATATTGCAACAATGAAGCAGGCGTGCCAAAAGATGAGGCCTAACTTGGTCATCATTCGCCAATGCCTCCAGAGAGTACAGAAGACACTATATTCAACAACACTCTACTGCAGAGGTCTTAAAAGAATTCACCTGCTTCTCTATTCCAATCTTGGTGAGTGTTTTATCTAATATATAACACGTGGTGCAGTGTTTCCCGCAGGATTTTGTGAGACTGTGGTGGGTGGACCTTAGACCCTGAAATGGACAGGCGCTGAACCAGAACTTAAGACAGAGGGCGATTTGGGAACAATTAGCTATTTGTTTGATGACGCATATGCCCCTGGGGGAAAGGGGCTATATTTCTAGGGTTCTAGTGTAGCCGGCTGATATCCAGACTTCCTTTTCAGTGTGCTGTTTATTTGTTTACAGTCTGATGAGCAACTTAAGATGTGAGACTGGAGTTGAGAAACGACATGTACAACAAGATGGTTTTACAAGTAGCCAAATAATTTCAAACCAATAAATAACTTTAAAACTATTAATCAACGTTAAATACTTTTTCTTGCCTCATTGATCCATTTTCCCTTTAAGCCTTTTAGAATATCCCATATACTGTGTTTTGTGTAGAAGTGCTCTGAAAAGTTGACTTGACGTTTACCTAGATACTGTTATCCAAATCAACACTCCTGAGGAAATTGGTATGATAGTCTCAAAACTTTGCAGAATCAGAATTGTGACATTTATTGAAACATGATTTGTCATTTGCAGGCCTGTTGGTGAATGCAGCCATACTCCTCCTACCATCGGTCTTCAAAGAAAATGCATCACAGCTCTTTGCAATAGATAAGGTTAGTCATTTGTGTTTGTGGGGGG